AGAATTATGTAGGTGGTTATTCTTTATTGTCCTGCTTATGCGTTTTCTTTCAGGTTTGTTTATTAGATATCAAGTTCAAAAATACTGTAATATGGTAATTTGGTCTTTGAGTAGTATGAAGAATGCTGTTGCGTGACATGGAAGTAAGCCTGATTTGACAAATTTGGGCTCAAAAGGTAGCAGGATGAGTGGAACATGATCTTGGAAGTATTGTCGTCGTTTCATAATATTGGTCAGAATTGATGTTTGCTGGTGACCCAGAAATGGGAGCTAATTATCCCTTTTCTTAAGTAGTGATGGGATACGTCATTGATCTGGTAGATACTCGACCTTTGGTATAGCTACTATCTACGGAAGATAATTTGTTCAACTTTCAGTTATTGTCCTGCCATGTATGGACATGGACATGCAAAATTAGGATGGGCAATATTTTGAGAAGTGCAGCACTTGGAGATGAGTACACAACAGGAATACAGCATATGCCAACTCGTTTTTTTCCCTTCCTTTGTCGTCCTCCTTAATTGACACCCTTGTGGCCTTATCTCGTATCTTTTTATTCGTTGTTAAGGATTGTTCTAAAATTTTAATATCATTTTTTTTTTTGGTTATCAAGAATGATTATAAAATTTTAGTACCTTTTTATATAAATGCTTGTTATGTGTTCTCTTCAGAACTGGAGTGGCACGCATGTCATCTTTCGTTAGCTTTTCCTTTTATCCTTCGATCTACTCGCTCATTACAAAAGGTTGGTACATAATGGGATGTCTTATTTGTTGTATTTTATGTTTTACCTTTTGTTGAGCTATGGGTGTTGCAGAAAAGTAAGAGAGACCGAAAAAGAATTGGGTTAAAAAATAGTATGTATTGAAATAAATCATTTTTATTACGGAAGGTGTGCCAGAAACTTATTTAGAATGTTACTTGCATGCATGGGTGGCTAATGATTAACATCTTGACTATTTGTTTCTATTTTGGGCTGCTAGGCAATAATGTGGCCGGTGGTATTAGCAGGTGAAGAGACGCTACCTATACAGCTAGTTGACAGCTTCATCATAATGTCTTATTTTAGCTTAAAGATTTTCAGTTGCGCAAGTAGTCTGCTCTGCATAAAGATTTTTGCCATTTCTGGAAATGGAAATGTTACTGTACTTGATCTACAGCGTGAGATGAAACATTTTTTTCTGATCATTTTTTTTTTTTTTTTTTTTTTTTTGTTTCCCTTCAAGATGAAGTGTAAATAATCTCAGCCTGGTGAAATTTTCTGCTCTGGTAACGAGCAAGGCATATGGAACATGCCCCCATTTTCTGATTTAGAATGTGTTTTCATCAAAATTGTGATGATGTATGCCCGTTAGGAGTGGTATGCAGTTCTAGTTATTATGATTTATCTGATGGTACACATTATTTTGTTGTAAGAAGAGAAATGTAGATATTGAAGAAGCAAACATTATATGGTTGATTCATTGCCATCTTACACTCTGCGGAATGCTGGTTATTAAACTTGCTGCTGCTACATGGGGTATAATCAGGTATGTGACATCCTGCTAGCCATCCTGTAAGAGCCATGTTTTTTTCTTTGATCCATTGTTTCAAATCTATTGCTTCACATGTTAAGGATCTTTAAATGCTGCCTTCCCTATCGATTATGAAGTGCAGAGATGGCACAAAATAACTAAAGATTGGTTGGATAGGTTTTGTATGACAGAGGTGGTCTTACGGCCATGAGGCAAAGATTGGCCACCTGGTGTTGGTTAGATTCTTCATCTGATGAATCTTCATTAGTATCTTCCCAAGTTGGGCTTTGAAAGCTCCTCTGCTTTGCTACCCTCCTTCCGCAGAAATGGTATCTCTGTTAATGGTGCTATGTTTTATTCTTTGATCCATTTTTTAAACGCCTTCCCTATTGATTATGAAATGCAGAGATAACACAAAACAACGTAGATTGGGTGGATAATATCGGAAGAGGTTTTGTATGACAGGTCTTATGGTTACTCTTTTCTTTTTTTCCATCTTGTGCAGATTTCCAAGTATGAAATTCTCCAAGATAGCTTTCATTTCACGTTGCAGATCAAAGAGAAGGATAGTCTTTAGCACATTAAAAAGGTGAAGAACCTATCCTTTTTTGTCTTTCTTTAAGTTTGAGTGGTATACTATGAACTCTGGTCAGCATGATTCAAGAACAACATATGGAGCTTATTTTGTTGGAACACGAGTTGTTGATTTTATGACCAATTTGTTCAAGCTTTGGATCGAGTCATTTTTGTCTATACTCAATGGATAAATTTCCACAAATTTTGATAGTAGAAATTCTTTGTGAATCTTGGTGATTGAAATGCTCAAAGCACCCACGAGTTAAATTGATGCCATTGTTGTCAAAATCCAGATAAAGACAATAATAATATAGGCTTGCTTGGTTACAAGACCTAAAAAACAGAAAGGATGTTTTCAGAGAACTATTAAAGTCCGTCGTCTGAACATAAGCCTTAAATATGTGCAAAGATTTTTAGTTCTCAAAAAGTCAGAAAACCCTTAAATAGGTGTGGATCTGAAAACCCAGATAAAGGTTCAACTGGATTATTATGTCGTCAAGTGCTTGGTCTCTTACTTGCAAATATATATGCCAAAATCATCTCACTCAAATCTTTAAATCTTTTTTGTCATGTTAATCATGAATTGAGAAGATAATGTAAGAAAACAAAAGTTTTCTAAGTGTTAGGTCCAACAAATATAAAAGCACTCCAGTATAATTTTACAAGTATCACTTCCAGTTGAAGTGCTCCAGAACTACACTAAAAACACTGATCCCTAAATAAATAAACAAATAAAAGAATAAACCTAAATTTAGTTACTTAGATTATGAGATTTAAAAATAAAATAAAGGGTTAATTGTTTAGGCCTTTGTTTTTTTAACAATGAGATCCGGTCAGAATTTTGATTCAAAAAGACCTTTCAAATGTTTAAAAAGGCGAAATTACCGGAATTGCCCATGAATATTTTATTCATTTTCATTGTGAAAAAATGAGAACTCCTGAAAAGTTGTTTTTGCCCTTGAACCTTACCCTATTCATTCCTTCCTTCCTTCCGTCGTACCCCCTCTCTAAGTTCTGCAAAAACGAAATCCTAATTCTATCCCAGCATCTCTCTTTCTTTCACCAACACCATGGTTGATCTGTGCTCCAGGGTAAGCTGTTGTGAGAGTGAGAAAGAGGTTCGTTACTGCTGGGTGGTATGAGAATGAAGTGGATCTCAGCGATGGAAGTTGCATTCGACTAGGGTTTGTAGAATTTTGTGAAGGAATTGGATTGATTTGTGGCTTCGTGGACCGCGGCGGAGGGGGCGACCCGAAGGTTGCTTCTCTGTTTGTTCTTTTTGCTCCTCTGTTTCTTCAAAGTTGGGCCTGTGGAGCTTTCCCGGCATTTAAGATTCGTAATTGATGATTGTCAGCCCTTCATTGTATATGTATATTTGTGTATTGATTCTTTATGTATGTGTGTTTCCAATCGGAGTGGTTGTAGAGAAGGGAAAAAAGGAATTTATTTAGAATAGGAAAGTTTAAAAACTTGGTATGTGTTTGCCTGTGCATATATATGTGATTGTATATTATCTCTATATATAGAAAATCATGATTTTCTCTCTCTATATATATACACATCAATACACATATTACACTCAGACCGATTGCAATCAAACACAATTCAACTTTCCTTTTCTGAACACCCGAATTCGAATCATAAACAGATACATACTATCAAAATACATATATACATAAACACACGAAACCAATTCCTTAATCAATTACATGATTTTTAGTGTTACTGTATATGTTAAAATATATAAATTCAATTACATGATTTTTAATGTTACTGTATATGTTAAAATATATATATACATATTATATATATACACACATCTGTGTGTGATTCATTCTCTCTTAATATGGGTTGTGAAGTGGTCGTGGTGGATGTGAAGGTTAAAAATGTAATTTTACTATTTAAATAGTTTAAATAATAAGCCAAAGGGTAATAAAGTCATTTCACTATATGTAATGTGGCAGCTGACCTAGCGTTTATGTTAACTTTATCAAATGTGAGGGTGTTATTGTTCAAAATATCTCAATTTGTGTATGGATGTTATTATGATAAATCTTAGGATTGTCATTGTAATTACTTCTAAAATAAAATAAAAAAACACTAACACAACAAATTTTTCAAATTTTAGCAATTGTAGTTATATAAGGGATCAAGTGCAGAACACCTCAGCAAAAAATATTCCTAAAGTTTCAATTTGTGTAGCTTCATCTATCAAATTTAAATTTTAAGTTGACTAAATTATCTTATTGAATTATTTTATAAAATATATAAAAATAAATAATTTTGTAAAATGATTGAAAATGACACTATTGGAGGATGCTCCTCCCGTGTAAAAAAATTCCTAAAGTTTCAATATAGTGCAAATAGGTCCCTCTAACAAATTTAAACCTTAAATTGACTAAATTATCTTGAACAATTTTATAAAATATATAAAAATAAATAATTTTATAAAATGACAATATTGGAGAACACAGACAATGAACAAGTAAACATAAAAATATAAAATAAAATAAAATAAAAAAAAAAACAAAAACAAAAATACAGTGCAAACTAAAGATAAAAATCGTGCACACTGATATTGGAATTTTTTTTTTGTTCAACAGTGTCGGTATGAAAAAAATAAATAAATAAAGAAAAAAAAATAATAAAAAGAGTAAATTGAAATTTCAAAAAATTCGAATTCTTATTTTGTAAATTTTTAAAATTTTAAAAAAAAAATGTATAAAGATATATATAGAGAAAAAAAACTTTTTTTTTTTTTTTAAAGAAAAAAAAAAAAAATATATATATATATATATATAAAAAGTAATATGCACATAACACACTATACTATAGTATGAGATTACTATCATATATATACCCTTTACTCAATATATTTTAGTGAAGGGTTTGTAACCGCACGATCACATTGTTACAACTGTTCCGATTAATAATTTCTCCATATATAGATAGCGCGAAAACCAGGTCCGCGATCTATATCCAGTTTAACTACGGAGACATTCTAAATAGAGAATCAAGCATATACTCCGTACATACGCACATAGCGAGAGAGAGAGATTGCGAACTGCGATTTCCGGCTGCTCTGATATAGAGTTTTGGCAATATGTACATATTACAGAGACGTTCTGGAGAGAGAAGCAAGTAGATATATATACATAGAGAGAAAGAGAGAGTTTGCAACCTGCGAATTTCAGCTGTTCTGATACAGAGTTTCAGCAATATATTCATTCTCGTTCTAATTCTATAGGTAAATCTTTCAATTTTTTTAATTTCTTGCTTGATGTTGTCTCCTTTTTAGGTTTAGTGAAGTTTTGATCCATTGTATGCGCAATAGAGGAAAGAGCTAAATAATTTTTGATCGCTGTGGTTATGTCCTTATAATTGCTTCTTCGTTCCTTTATCTCTGTCCAAACATAGTAGGTAATAGTAACAGCTAATGCTTATTTGCACATATCAAGAATAAAGCTTTCAAAAACCCTAATTTTCTGTTTTGAGCCATCAGGATCACCTTTACAAAACAACAGAGAATATATATGTGCACACTTATATATATATTCAGAGATCAAAGAATGGTATTTTTGCAAGTCCTTCAAAATTTTATCAACCAATTTTAGCTTTGTAATCATTTATCTATTTGTTTTGGCAGAATACAGAGAAATAATTTCAAGGAAAAAGTTAGAAGTCTGTTTCAAGAATTTAATTAAAGGCACACAATTAAATTTCCCTGAGCTTTAGTAAACATTATTGTTTGGAATAAGTTAATTTTTCAGTAACATTTTTTCCTTTTTTGATAAATATGAGTACCATTAGGAAGCATCTAAAGGCGCATCCTTGGTTAACCAACTAACTTAAAAAAAATGCCGTCAGAAGATTGTATAGGGAGCTCGGGCCTTCTATGCTTATAAGAAGCTAGATGAAAATTTAACCCCATCAAAACAGTGTATCATTTCTTTCTCCAGAATGCCCTACCACCACCACCACCACAAAAACAACTGTGACAGTTACACCAAACTGTTTTAGCAAATCTGAATCTTTGCTTCAGAATAACTTCTCAAATGACAAAAGATAATGCAATCGCTATAAAAAGATGCCATCCCAAGGTCCAACTTTCTCTCCTTGAAGGCATTCAATCCAAAAACCAGCTATTTGCTGCCGGATCGTTGATGTCTCGAAGTGGCTACCAAGATGTTGTGAGTCGTGACTGAACGATCAATTGCCGACATGTGTGGCTATCCTCTCTGCTGCAATTCTTTACCTGATGCTCTAGGTTTTGTGCTTATGTTCTTGTTTGTTTGTAAGTTGCAGAGGCTTGAACTCGAACCCTAGCTTAAGTTCGTACTGGTGGCTTGAGGACTCTTACAGATTATTAGAAGTAAGTGTTTCGCACTTCCTTGTTTTTATTTCGTTTACAATTTTCATATATCTTGCTCCTGCAACAGAAGTTAGGAATCAAGAAATAAATAAATAAATGAAAAACATAAATTAGATAAATGATTTTTTTTTAAAAAAAAAAAAACAAATTGAACAATAAGAAATTATTTCAGCTAGGTTTCTCTTTTGATAATCTTTGGTAGTGTGGTTTAAGTTGAAAGTTGAGTATATTAAACAAACATAAAAATAAAAAATAAAAATGGAATATAAATAAAATAAAATAAAGAAAAGAATTAACTAAATTTAGTTTCTGTTGTGATAGTCTTCTGTAGTATGGTTTAGGTTAGACCTTGAACAGCATAAATGTAACCTTGAGGAAAACAATTACTTGAAACAACCTTCAACCACTGCCTGTAAATTTATAAGATTTCCTATAAATAGGAGTTGATAAATTATTTGTTGTGGTCCATTTATGTGTAGATACTGTTGTGTGATTGTGCAGACTACAATGGCAGAAAGCCGAAATGGAAATGTTCCACCTGCAAATGGGAGGCCCACTGGAGCAGGAAATGCTTATACCATTGATCTGGATAACTTCAGCAGGCGATTAAAGACACTTTACACACATTGGAATGATCACAAATCTGAACTCTGGGGTTCTTCGGATGTTTTTGCAATAGCTACACCTCCTGCTTCTGAGGATCTGCGGTATCTGAAATCCTCGGCTCTGAACATTTGGTTGCTTGGTTATGAATTCCCAGAGACAATAATGGTTTTCATGAACAATCAGATCCATTTCTTGTGTAGCCAAAAGAAGGCCTCTCTGCTTGACGTAGTAAAAAGATCTGCCAAGGAGGCTGTTGGAGTGGAAGTTACCATGCACGTGAAAGCAAAGAACGATGATGGGACTACCCAAATGGATGCTATATTTCGTGCTATACGTGCTCAGACAAAGTCCGATGGTCATGATAATCCTGTTGTTGGATACATTGCAAGAGAGACTCCGGAGGGGAATCTTTTGGAGACATGGGCTGAGAAGCTAAAGAACTCAAGTCTCCAACTTATTGATATAACCAATGGATTGTCAGATCTTTTTGCTGTTAAGGACAGCAGTGAGATCACAAATGTGAAGAAGGCTGCATTTTTGACAGCTTCTGCAATGAAGAATTTTGTGGTTCCAAAGCTTGAGAAGGCTATTGATGAGGAAAAGAAAGTCTCCCATTCTTCATTAATGGATGATACTGAGAAGGCCATATTGGAGCCAGCAAAAGTTAAGGTGAAGCTTAAGGCTGAGAATGTCGATATCTGTTATCCTCCTATCTTTCAGAGTGGTGGTAATTTTGATCTGAGACCTAGTGCTTCGAGCAATGATGAACACCTATACTACGATTCAGCCAGTGTGATTATATGTGCAATTGGATCCCGATATAACAGTTACTGTTCAAATGTTGCCAGAACTTTCTTAATTGATTCCACTACAACACAGAGCAAGGCTTATGAGGTTCTACTCAAGGCCCATGATGCAGCAATTGGGGCATTGAAGCCTGGGAACAAGGTCAGTGCTGTGTACCAAGCAGCCCTATCTTTGGTTGAGAAGGATGCTCCAGATTTAGTAAACAACCTGACAAAATCTGCTGGAACAGGCATTGGTCTTGAGTTCCGTGAGTCAGGCTTGAGTCTGAACATCAAGAATGAACGAGTGTTGAAAGCAGGCATGGTTTTTAATGTGACTCTTGGTTTTCAGAATTTGCAGACGCAAATCAAGAAGCCAAAGAGCCAGAATTTCTCCCTTTTACTGGCGGATACTGTTATTGTCACTGATAAGGGCCATGATGTGGTGACTTCAGTGAGCTCTAAAGCCGTTACAGATGTGGCTTATTCATTTAATGATGACGAGGAAGAAGAAGAAGAAGAGCAGCCGAAAGTGAAAGCTGAGCCTAATGGTGCAGAGGCCTTATTTTCCAAGGCAACCCTCAGGTCAGACAACCAGGAGTCGAAAGAAGAACTCCGAAGGCAGCACCAGGCTGAACTGGCTCGCCAGAAGAATGAAGAAACTGCCCGACGACTTGCTGGTGGGGGTTCTGCAACGGGAGATAACCGTGGTGCTGCGAAGTCTTCTAGTGAACTAATTGCATATAAGAATGTCAATGATTTACCCCCTCCTAGAGAAATGATGATTCAGGTTGACCAGAAGAATGAAGCCATCCTCTTACCCATTTATGGAACCATGGTTCCTTTCCATGTTGCTACAGTGAAGACTGTCTCCAGCCAACAGGATACCAATCGAAATTGCTATGTCCGAATAATCTTCAATGTTCCTGGCACTCCTTTCAGTCCTCATGATGCCAATTCCTTGAAATATCAGGGTTCTATATATTTGAAGGAGGTTTCATTTCGCTCTAAAGACCCAAGGCACATAAGTGAAGTGGTACAGCAGATTAAAACACTCCGAAAGAATGTTATGGCCAGGGAGTCGGAGAGAGCTGAGCGAGCAACTTTGGTTACTCAGGAGAAACTTGTACTTGCAGGTAACAAGTTTAAGCCAATACGGTTGCCTGACCTTTGGATTCGTCCCACTTTTGGTGGTCGTGCAAGAAAACAGTCTGGTACACTAGAAGCCCACACGAATGGGTTCCGGTACTCAACCTCAAGGCAAGATGAGCGTGTGGAAGTCATGTATGGGAATGTCAAGCACGCATTCTTCCAGCCAGCAGAGAAGGAAATGATCACTCTTCTGCATTTTCATCTGCACAATCACATAATGGTGGGAAACAAGAAAACTAAAGATGTTCAATTTTATGTTGAAGTGATGGATGTGGTCCAGACACTTGGAGGTGGAAAGAGATCTGCTTATGACCCAGATGAGATTGAAGAAGAACAACGGGAAAGGGACCGAAAGAACAAAATCAACATGGATTTCCAGAACTTTGTGAACCGGGTTAATGATCTCTGGGGACAGCCCCAATTCAAAGGGCTTGACCTTGAGTTTGATCAGCCTTTAAGGGAACTTGGCTTTCATGGCGTTCCCTATAAAGCTTCCGCTTTTATTGTTCCAAGTTCAAGCTGTTTGGTTGAGCTAGTAGAGACTCCTTTTCTTGTCATCACCCTAAGTGAAATTGAGATAGTGAACTTAGAGAGAGTTGGTCTTGGACAGAAGAACTTTGACATGACAATCGTATTCAAGGATTTCAAGCGAGATGTGCTTCGAATCGATTCTATTCCTTCAACATCACTTGATGGCATCAAGGAATGGCTGGACACAACAGACCTCAAGTATTACGAGAGCAGACTGAACCTGAATTGGCGTCCAATATTGAAAACTATCAATGATGATCCACAAAGGTTCTTAGAGGATGGAGGTTGGGAATTTTTGAATTTGGAAGCTAGCGACTCTGATTCTGATAACACAGAGGATTCAGACCAAGGCTATGTGCCATCAGATGCTGAACCTGAGTCAGACTCGGATGACGATGTTTCTGACAGTGAATCGCTGGTGGAATCTGAGGACGACGAAGAGGAATCGGAGGAGGAGTCAGAGGAAGAGAGAGGAAAAGCATGGGAGGAGTTGGAGAGGGAAGCAAGTAATGCAGACAGGGAGAAAGGCAGTGAATCGGATAGCGAGGAGGAGAGGAGGAGAAGGAAGATGAAGGGAATAGGCAAATCTCGGGCTCGTCCCAGTAGCAGTTTACCCAAGCGACAAAAGTTTAGGTAGATGCGGATGTATGTCAGTTATTCCCCTACCTCTGTGTTGGAATCTATTATGCTGCAATAACAGCACCAGATGCTTTAGATTTAGTTTTTCAACTCAGTTTGGAAGAATCTTGTTTAGAATTTCTTTTTCTTCTTTTAAAACTGTATGTCCCTCGCTTTGGGCTCTTGGCAGGTTGCTTAGCTGATGGATTTTGCTTGTAAATTATTGGTATATGAGTGTGAAAGTGACAATATATATATATATATATATATATATGTATCAAATCTAATAGTTCCTTTCATCATGAGTTGATGTTTTTGTCTCTGTGAGAGAGAGACAAACAAAGATAAGTGTTTGAAATGAATATCAATAATTTATATATATGGTTTCAATGTTTGATGCCAGAAGTTGCTCCATTTTATTGAATACAGAGAGGCACAATGTTGAAGACTGAAGTGCGTGTGGAGTGCATGGCAAGCACAAGCGAAAGGTAGGCTTGCTTCATCTTATCTCATGAATTTTTCAATTTGTAGGAGTTTTAGGAGTGAGTTTGAATGTTTTTATTGTTCATGGTCCTTTGGCTCATGTGGTATTATGACCTCTCAAATGGTTATATCACATGTCCTGGTCTTGCATGCATGGGTGGCTATAGATTAACATCTTGACTATTTGTTTCTATTTTTGGCTTCTAGGCAATGTAAAGGTAGTATGGTTGTGATTAGCTCAAGAAAAACTTACATTTGTCTTTCTACGACCTTTAAGAGACGTTACGTATACAGCTGGTTGAAAGCTTCATCATAATATAATATTATTTTAGCTTAAAGTCTTTCAATTGCACAACTAGTCTGCTCTGCATAATGATTTTTGCTATTTCTGGAAATGAAAATGTTACAGTACTTGATCTACGGTGCAAGATGAAACATTGTTTTATGAAGTGCAAATAATCTCAGCCTGGTGAAATTTTTTGCTCTGGTTACGAGTAAGGCATTTGGAACGAGCCCCCATTTTCTGATTTAGAATGTGTTTTTATCAAAATTGTGATGGTGTATGTCCGTTAGGAGTGGTATGCAATTCTAGTTATTATGATTTATCTGATTGTGCACATTATTTTGTTGTAGGAAGAGAAATGTAGATATTGAAGAAGCAAACATTATGTGGTTGATTCATTGCCATATATCTTACTATCTAGTAAGTGCACTGATCTTACTCTCTGCGGAATGCTGGTTATTAAACTTACTGCTGCTACATCGGGGATAATTAAGTATGTGACATCCTGCTAGCCATCCTGTAAGTTTGTAATCAATATCTGGTCTGGAAAGCATTCGTATTTTGTTGGAGGCAGTATCTGTGTTGATGGCGCCATGTTCTATTCTTTGATCCATTGTTTCAAATCTATTGCTTCACATGCTTAGGATCTTTATATGCTGCCATCCCTATCGATTATGAAGTGCAGAGATAGCACAAAATAACTACTGGTTTGGTAGTCGGGGAAGAGGTTTTGTATGGCAGAGGTGGTCTTACGGCCATGAGGCAAAGATTGACTATCTGGTCTTGGTTAGATTCTTCATCTGATGAATCTTCATCGATATCTTTCCAAGTTGCTTTGAAAGCTCCTCCGTTCTTCTTCTTCTCCTTTGCTTTGCTGTCCTCCTTCCACAGAAATGGTATTTCTATTAATGGCACTGTGGTTTATTCTTCTTGATCTATTGTTTCAAACCTATTGCTTCACATGTTCAGGATCTTTATCTTCCCTATCGATTATGAAGTGCAGAGATAACACAAAACAACTTATGTATTGTTTGGGAGCACTGAATTGGTGCCTTGGATTTGGAATTGGAGGAAGGTTAACTCAATATTTGTACTAAATTTTCTCTAATTCCAAATACTAGGCGCCAATTCAGCCCTGCCAAACATAGCATTAGATTGGTTGGATAGCCGGGGAAGAGGCTTTGTATGACAGAGGTCTTACGGTTACTCCTACTCTTACTCTTTCTTTTTCTTTTTCTCCATCTTGTGCAGATTTCCAAGTATGAAATTCTCCAAGATAGCTTTCGTTTAATGCTGCGGATCAAAGAGAAGGATAGACCTTAGCACCTTAAAAAAGTCTTAGCAGTTAGATTTTCCTTATTTTTCTTTCTTCAAGTTTGAGTGGTATACTATGAACTGGTCAGCATGATTCAAGAACAACATATGGAGCTTTTTTTGTCGGATGAATCTTGGTGATTGCGCCCACGAGTTCAATTAATGCCATGTGAAGCAATAATTAAGGCTTGCTTGGTTCAGTTTCCTTAAAACAGTTGTCAAGACTCGAAAAACAGGAGAAATGTTTTCAGAGAACTATTGAAGTAAATAGGCCTTTTTATAACAGTTTTTAGAAAACTGCAACAAAAAAGGTACAAAGATTTCCAATTCTCAAAAAATCAGAAAACTAAACCGACCGTGCCCTCTATCCCTAGGTAGCATTCAGTTTTTAACTGTGCAATCACATTTGGATCTGAGAACCCAGAAAAAGGTTCTATGATTATTATTTTGTCAAAGGAAGTGACTGGTTTCAACAGTAGCAAATTACCATATGCCAAGCCTGACTCATAGGATAAAAAAAGACAAAAATAAGCAAACACCCTCTCAACAGTTTGGTCTCTGACTTGCAAATGTACATGCCAAAATAATCTCACACAAATGATTAATATGTTATATTAATCATGAATTGAGCTGATAATGTAAGAAAACAAAAGTTTTCTAGTCATCCTTCAATTTTACGACAAATATTCAGATATCGGTTCCTGTTGAAGTGCTACAGAACTAAACTATGCACACTGATCCCTAAATAAATAAACAAATAAAAGGATTAACCAAACTTTAGATACTTAGATGATGAGATTTAAAAAATAAAACACTAGCGCAACAAATGCTTACCAAGGGCCCTGTAGACTCTCTCTTCCTCTACAGAAAATTTTGCTATCAATACCCTCATAATGGTGAGGGTTCGAATCTCCAAATTGGCAAAATGAGTGTGTTTTTTGTGAAAAAAAAAAAAAAAAAAAAAAAAAAAAAAAAAAAAAAAACCTTCAAATTTTAGTGATATAAGTTATTGGTTCTCTAACCTCTATGCTTGCTCAAAGTGTCAAAACTTCCTCATTTTTTCTTTTTAAGAAAATATGTCGCTAAAATTAACAATTTATTATCAACCATCCTTAAAAAAATAATAATAATAATAATAAATAAATAAAATAAATAAATAAAATCACACACACACTCTCCAACACAGTTTGTGCTGTCTCAATTAACAAGTGAAATCAGGACCTTTAACTGAAAAAAAAAAAAAAAAAAGTGAAATCAGGACCAACTAAAACAAGAGTTTTTTATTGATCATTTTTTTTTTTTTTTTTGGCAAGAAACTCACAAATCCACATCCCCTCACGTGGACTTGAACCTCTACCTTCCAAGGAACAATGCTCTTGCTTTTAAAATATTTTTCACACAGAAACTTTCAAACACCAAAATTAGCCTTCTAAGTTATGACAGACTGTGATATCCCCTAGTTTTTAAGTTATGGATTGATCAAGTCCACACTAAAAAATAGGAAAACTAAATAATAATTAATAAATCCCGACTATAAATAATTCTTCAATAAATTCCATCATTATAATAAATCTCTAATGATGCACAACTCGAGAATCCAATAAATCAAGGACCCAAACAACATAATCGAATATTATTCTGATAATTTAATAAATAATACCATGACTAAAGAATATCAATAAATAAACATCCTACTTTGAATAAAAAAGAGAGTAGATGATAGTCTCCAAGTTGTGGATCATCAGTCTCGAGACTGGAACCTCTAGGAACCTAAAAAATATAAACAACGGCTGTAATGTCCCGAAATTTTCTGGATTTTTTCCAAATTTTTATTTATTTATTTTTTTCGCGCCTCGTTTTGCGCGTCACAAGGGTCCCATGGGTTGTTTTAGTCATTTTCTGGAGCCGAGAATTTTAGAAATGTAATTTTTATTATTGTAAGTCATTTTTAAGTGACGGGATGGATTTTAAAATTTTTAGGAGTTGAGACGACTTCCAGACTCGGGAACTTCTCCTGGTCTTGACATTTCCATTGAAGGGCATTGTGGACATTTTACACATATATATATACACATATATATGCATGTATCTAATTATTAGAGAATATATTTTATTAGATAAGTAGGGCATTGTGGTGAAAGGAGAAAGGCAATGAAGTAATTTAGCAAAAAGGGGAGACCACCCAAATTGTGACAAGTAGCAAACTATAGACCACAAGTCAAATTTGACCAAACCATTTCCTTCATTCTTCCTTCTTTTCGGCAGAACTCTCACTCACTTTACAATTTATATTTTCTCTCTATATATCTACACACACACACACTTGTGAGCTATATTTGAGAGGGTTAGGGTGTGATTTTGAAGAAGGTCAAGGAGGGAGTCTTGTTCTACACGACGAGGTCTATCTTTTGAGACTGGTCTTGCTAGGGTTTGGTGGAACTCGAAAATTAGGGACTTCTTAAGGCCTTGTTTGGCTTACTTTCTTGAGGTAGGGGGGTCTAACCCACTATGCTTTGCCTTCTTTTTGAGTTCCATATCTTGATTTCATGAAAAACGTGATCTATAATCTTATGTGATGTTGATTGTGTATTTGAATGAAAATTGTTGAGAAGCATGATATGTGTATAAGTGTTTTCTTGAGAACATGTTTGTGAAAATGTTGAGTATATGTTTAAATGATGAAAGCATGTTCAAAGATGATGTTGGTTGTATATATACTTGGTTGTAAAGTTGTTTAAAGAGCATGCCTTGTGTTAGATTGTTTCTTGAGATTTCATATATACACATGATGATGATGAGTATGTATAATTAAATTGATAAGAATTGCAAAGCATGTGTATATTGATTTTATTCATGCATGATTTCATTTATGGCATGGGCATGGTAAGGGAAGCGAGGTGAAATGGTTTTATAGAAATGGGTTTAATTTAGTTATACCCCTTGTGGTTTGTCCAATCTTCAAGGAGACCCCCCCACATTTGCAAAAATTCAGTCAGACTTCCTACTTTTTCTGACACACCTCAGTCTCCCCCCTCAGTTAATAGTCAAAGCTGGTCAGAGACACTTTTTGCCAACATCAGCAAAAAATTAAATTTTAATGCCCAAATTGCCCCTGGTTATGTTTTGTGGTTGGAAAGAGAGAAGCCAAGCCATTTTTAGTTTTAGAGAGAGAAAGAGATGGCCAGACCAATTGGCGTAGGTCAACTTCACGCAACGGCCGAA